AGTTGTGCTAGAACAGCCCAGTGAGCTCCATGTGTGTCGCCACCACTAAGAATAGAATGGAAAATCAATTAAAGCCGAGGCTAGTGAAGTGAAAGACTTTGAGACCAATTTTTAAAGAGTCATATTTTGGGCAGACAAGCATTTCTAGGTTACAACAGACCAGACCGACCACGACAAATCTCAGCAAGCTACCCACCAAAAGCAAGACAGCGAAACGTCTCGGAGTAAGACAACAAAACAACGGGAGAGAAAAAGAGGCACAGAAAGACAGTGACTGACCAGGGTTTGCTGGTATCTCAGAGCTTTCCTTTGCGACGCATCGGCAGCCATCGACACGCTCGCACTGAGCCAAAAATAAACACACACAGTCTCACTCCTGTGTTACAGCAAATGAAACATACACTCACCGACTCTTACCCATTTATTCAGTTACAAACACCACCCCTCTCAAAGCGCAAGATACACACGCTGTCTCACTCTTATGTTACAGTACCCGCAACACACACTTGCAAGAAAAATGCTGAGACGTGTGATTCTTCAATTAGATACACTGGAACACACCATCCACAAACTGGCAAAGAGTCGGCCTACCTGTAATACACTGCACCAACAACACTTACGGAGGAGCAGAGAAAGCAAACGCATCACAAACATGCAGATATTCACAACCCTTGCAAAACATTACTATGGTATCCATAGTTTCTGTCAAATACATGGTATTGGCAAATTTGGTATATTAGCAAGCTGGTAACACAAAGGTCAGGGTTCTCAATTATACGAAGCTACGAGAACACTTTTTGTGCGCAAAAGAAAGGGAAAAAAACAACGATGCGGAGGAGACAAATTGTTGAATAAAGTCGTTTTTTTTTCTTTTGCGCACAAAAAGTGTTCTCGTAGCTTCGTATAATTGCGGATGAACCACTGATGTCACATGGATTATTTTACCGATCTCCTTGCTACGTCTCTGGACTTGGAAGCATTTCAGTTGCGTTGCTGTCTATGCAGGGTCAGACAGCTCTCATATTCCATCAAAAATATCTTAATTTGTGTTCCGAAGATGAACGGGTTAGAGTCTTACAGGTTAGAAAAGACATGAGGGTGAGTAATTAATGACAGAATTTTCATTTTTGGGTGAACTAACCCTTTAATCTACACATTCTGTAGTTAACATGAAACGGATGATTCAAATCCTAAAACAAGCACTGTCAGGATATATTAAATAAATAAGGATCAATTTTATGAAGAGGGCAAGCAAAATGGTTTTAAAAAATCACTACGAAGTGTAGTGTAGTGAATAAAAACACAAAGACTCAAAGAGCTGGCGGAGAGTGACTGAAACAGTTGAGCCCAAATGAGCGTACTTGTGTTTTGTGTTAAATAGATAATACAGGTCCAGATTTGCTTGTCTTTTCTTAGCTGCGGCACACGGCTAATCGCCGCCTCATCTCACATTAACGACATCAGCCGTTACTAGCGGCAACATGCCTCCCCATCTATCTGCGGGCCTGAACCCCTCCCAGCTGGATTTCTGTTTTACTTCCACCTCTTCTTGTTTTTGTTCCTTCTGGCGAGCAAGGAGGAGTCCTGTTTTTTGACAGGACACCACCCCCTCAGGGGCACCCGTGTAACATGATGAGTGAGTATGTGTTTTGGAAGGAGCTGGGGGGGGGGGCAACGTGACCCAATACAACAGCGTTCAATGCAGCAGCGAGGAAACTCAGATGCCCCGCAGAGTCTTAAAATACAACACACTCCTGCTGTGATTCAACCACTACTCTGATTAACGGGATGATGAATATGTAAACTCTCTGCCAACTCATGGCTTCTAGAGTCCGAAATGTTTACAGGCATTAACCTAGAGAGACATCCGAGTGAAGCATCCACTGATCTGATGAGCTAAAAGTGCAGCAAAACTTATACGCAACCCTTCAGGACTTCTGAAATACATTGTGTAGGTTGTCGCTTTTTATATCACAACTGGGCCTTCCAATTGATTGGCCAGGATATACCTCGGTGGACAACTAAATAAAGCTTCAAAATAAATAAAGTGATTAAAGTAATCCTCCACGCATAGGGGGGGGGCAACGTGACCCAATACAACAGCGTTCAATGCAGCAGCGAGGAAACTCAGATGCCCCGCAGAGTCTTAAAATACAACACACTCCTGCTGTGATTCAACCACTACTCTGATTAACGGGATGATGAATATGTAAACTCTCTGCCAACTCATGGCTTCTAGAGTCCGAAATGTTTACAGGCATTAACCTAGAGAGACATCCGAGTGAAGCATCCACTGATCTGATGAGCTAAAAGTGCAGCAAAACTTATACTTATACTTAAACTTATACATTGTGTAGGTTGTCGCTTTTTATATCACAACTGGGCCTTCCAATTGATTGGCCAGGATATACCTCGGTGGACAACTAAATAAAGCTTCAAAATAAATAAAGTGATTAAAGTAATCCTCCACGCATTTATATACATACCATCTGGGCCTTGCGGCGAAGGCTTCAGTGCTGGAGTCACGCTAACAGGTCAGATGGGTAGGTGTTATGGGATCGGTACAATGACGGCCGTTCCTGCAGCCACGGCAGGACAGAGAAACCCGAGCACGCAGATAAAAATGCATCACCACGGAAGCCGAGGACAACTCTGAAAAACAGAGCGGGACAGGGAGTGAGAGACATCTAATACTAAACAACTCGATACAGAGAATAACATCCAACATGGCTGACACTCAATTATAACCAACCAGACAATGCACTCCACAACGCAAGTCAAAGGTCTTTGGAACAGTATTTCTTTATTACATGGCAGCTTTTGCATTACAAAAATACAAAAATGACAGTTTCCCTAAAGTTTCTTTAAGCACCCTTCATAGTTGGTTAGTACAGATGAAAAAAGGCAGTGAATAAACCATTTAATATCAAGTTTGCTAGGCACTCGTCTGGCAGGGACTAAACTGGATTTTATAATATGTATCTGTCCATTGTGGGTTTTAATACCTTCATAGGGGAACTTTTAAACATTTGTTACCACAACTAGAACCTGAGGGGCTAAATGTCAACGCTTTCTCCATTACAATTCAGAACACACATTCAAAACCAGTTTAACACAGCCTGAGAAATACATTGATTATCTATAAATACAGTTGGGGGAGTTGTTTAAAACAAAGTTAGGCTGGTTTTGGAGAACATACTGTAAATGTGCTGGCGTTCTCTCAATGGAATGAGTGCAGGATTAAAGAAATACTTGCACAGTATAGCAAAACTTTGGGTCTGAAATTAATAAATTTTCTTAGTATATACATTTTATGTTTCTTACTTTAGTTTTGTTTTTCATTTAAAACTTCAAATGACTGATGAAAATAACTAGTATTTCATCAAATAACCAGTCATTTTTTTCCTAAATAATCATGGCACTTTTGCCCATTATGAAAGTAATCCTTTATAAATTATTTATCTGCACCAGCCCCTCACTTTATATTTACGATTTTAATGTTTGCTTAAAATGAACCTATGCCCATATTATTCTCCCAGTTCAAAGAAGCTTATTAGTTAAAATATAAAAGAATAAAACCCAACAAAGCAACAGTTGCTTGAAAGCAATATCAGCATGAACAGTATACATCTACATCATTGGCTTCTAAAACAGTACAAATAAAATAAAATACAGAAAAATAAAAGAATCACGTTGAGTGATAACCTGTGGTTGAGTGTGAAATGGATGCCATGGCAGTGTCAAAAGGTCAAAGGTATGACCTTTAACCTAAAGGTCATGCCTACTGGATCAGGAAGACACAGACACAGATGGAAAACAGCACACGCAAATTTACACACCACATTCCCAGGAGGAATAATGTTGTGTGTGTAGAACAGGAAGACTGTGTCTAAACCCTGGAACCTCTAAATGACAGAAGGTGAGCTGATGAGGTACAAAAGCTCTCTACCGCCACCTGTAGGCTTTAAGACAGCATACTTTCAGTCTCCATAATGTGAATTTGTTGGCACACAGAATGTTTAAAGTGAAATGTAATGTGCAAGAGTATAAGAAATATGCATATGTACAGGCATAATTAAGAAACATATTATGAGGATACATACATTTCATTTTGACAATACTCCGCATTGAAAACGAGTGGAAACACCATTTGGAATGCAACTGAAATCTGGAAGTTTTAGAATTGCATGAATATCTACAGAATGATCAAGTGTATTGATACGTTTTAAAAAATAACTTTTATATGCCAACCAAAATAGAGAAATAGTTTAACTTTTAACTCTGAGTCAGGAAGCCCTATTAAATTTCAATAAAGCTGCCATGGTGAATACAGGGTTACTAAAGAAAATTAACAGATGTCATGCCGCAATACTTACAGAAAACATTCATTTAAAGTTGTACTGATGTTGATACAATGCATGCAACGCTGCACCAAAGATAAAGTAAGAGCAGATCGGCTCTGTGAAATGGTATGGAGGGGTTTAGTATAGTACTGGCACAATGTTACTATGCATGTCTATGCATACAACAGTGTATGTGCGACAGCTGCTCTGAATGTACCAACAAGTTTACGGGTTGGCTATAAAAAGGCTCCACAATTACAAAACATACAATACATGAGTTACTGAGAAAAAGAAATAAAAAACTGTACAAAGTAAATTGAAAACAAACAAATAAAAAGAAATCTGATAAAACAAAAGACTGATCAAATGTTGACTTTGGTTAAAAAAAAAAGGGTAATTGTTCAGCAAATTTTATACAGCTGTTGAATAAAAAAGAAAATATTGGAATAAAAAATATATATATTTGATTTGGGGTTATTTTTAACCCCAATCTCTCCCTATATATCACGAAAACAAATGGGATTTTTTTTCACATATATCTCACAAATGGCATATTCACTCTTAGCAATTTTTGGTAAAAAAACAAAAAAGAGCAAGGCATAAATATTGTTGGCTATTACTAAAAATATACCCCAGCGACTTAAGAATGGTTTTGTGGTCCAGGGTCACATATGAAATGATGAATGGTAAGAAAATCAGATGAAGATACAACAATGTATACACACTGAAACCTTTGAGGGTGGCAAAGCCGCAGATCATGTCGGATCTCTGGGGCAGTTTGACTCTCAGTCTCTCCCTGTCTTTCACCTCCCTCTCTTTGTCATCTCTTTCCCCCTCTCTGCCAGCATCCCTCTGTTCACAGCCTGGAGATTGAGTCCGTTCCTGACCATCCAACTGGTCCACACCATTGTCCATCTCCTCTGAACCAGAAAGAAATGTTTGCTTGTTTGTGTGTTAGTGATTTAACACCATGCTAGCTTCCGTGGTTAATTTATATTTCATTGCCAATTTAAAGTACAATAAAGTTATTTTACAACCTTTATTTTATTTTTTTTAAACAGACTTTATTAAAAACCTATTTAAATGCTTCAGCTGAATAAAATTAACTCCTCAATTAATTAAAACCATCATACTTCCATACAATACGCCTCAGAGATTTGTTTTTGGCATGAGGCACATAATGTGCATCTTTACCATTTTTCACTTTCAAAGAATTCAATAAACGTGTCTGGAAATACTACTATATATTACTCAACACATACTTACTATTTTATAAAAAAAAAATTACCAGTCAAAACTATGTCTTTTAGTGTTTTTTTTTTTTTTTTGGGGGGGGGGGGGGGGGGTTTTTTTTAACGGGGTTTCTGTTTTTTTTTTTTTTTTTTTTTTTTGGCCTTGTGGGGTTTTTTTTTTTCC